TCCTTAAAATCCCCCAAATTTGGGTCAGAACCCCCAAAACCCCCTAAAATTCCCCAAATTTGGGTCAGAACCCACAAAACCTCCTTAAAATCCCCCAAATTTGGGTCAGAACCCCCAAAACCCCCTAAAATTCCCCAAATTTGGGTCAGAACCCCCAAAACCTCCCTAAAATCCCCCAAATTTGGGTCAGAACCCCCAAAACCTCCTTAAAATGCCCCAAATTTGGGTCAGAACCCCAAGTTCAGCTCCAAACCTCCAAATTTTGGGTCCAAAACTCCCAATTTCCACCATCAAACCTCCAAATTTGGGTCAGAACCTCCTGGATTTGGGACAGGAGCCCCCAAAATCTCCCCAAAATCTCCCAATTTTGGGTCAGAACCCCCAACCTTGGGTCAGAACCTCCCAAAATCTCCTTAAAATCTCCCAAACTTGGGTCAAAACCTCCCGGATTTGGGTCAGAAACCCCAAATTTGTGTAAGAACTCCCCAAACCCAGCTCCAAACCCCCCAAATTTGGGCCAAAACCCCCAAAATCTTCTTAAAATGCCCCAAACGTGGGTCAAAACCTCCCGGATTTGGGTCAAACCCCCCAGATTTGGGTCAGAACCCCCAGATTTGGGTCAAAACCTCCCGGATTTGGGTCAGACCCCCCAAGCTTGGCTCAAACCCCCCAAATTTGGGTCAAACCCCCTGGATTTGGGTCAAATCCCCCAGATTTGGGTCAAAACCTCCCGGATTTGGGTCAAACCCCTAAACTTGGGTCAGAACCCCCAGATTTGGGCCAGAACCTTCTGGATTTGGATCAACCTCCCCAGATTTGGGTCAAAACCTCCCAGATTTGGGTCAGACCCCCCAAACTTGCCTCAAACCCCCCAAATTTGGCTCAAACCCCCAAACCGGTCCCGAACCCCCAGATTTGGGTCAGAACCTTCTGGATTTGGATCAACCTCCCCAGATTTGGGTCAAAACCTCCCGGATTTGGGTCAGACCCCCCAAACTTGGGTCAGACCCCCCAAACTTGGGTCAAACCCCCCGGATTTAGGTCAAAACCTCCCGGATTTGCCTCAAACCCCCCAAACTTGGCTCAGACCCCCAAACCGGTCCCGGTCCCCCCCGTCACTGGGCGGGGCTGACCCAGTTGCCCCAGCTGACCCCTCCCCCGCTGCTCCCCCACCCCTCCTGCGTCCCGCCCTCCCCCGCCCAGGCCGCCGCCCCTCCCCCCGCGGCCGCCCCTCCCCCTCCCGCCGCGCCCGCCGCCCCTCCCCCCGCGCCGGCCCCGTACTGGTTCCCAGCGGCCGCCGCGTACTGGGAGGCGTCGGCGGCGCCGCTCCCGGCGGCGGCGGCGGCGGCGGCGGCCCCGGCGCCCGAGGCGGCGTACTGGGCGGCGCTGGCGGCGTACTGGGCGTACTGGGAGCCGTCGCCGGCGCCGTACTGGGAGCCGTCAGCGCCGTACTGGGAGTACTGGGAGTACTGGGAGGCCAGCTGGGCGTACTGGTACTGGTACTGGCCGTACTGGGAGGAGGCGGCGCCGTACTGGGACGAGCCCCCGGAGCCGTACTGGGAGGAGGCGGGGCTGTACTGGGAGGAGGCGGGGCTGTACTGGGAGGAGGCGGGGCCGTACTGGGAGTACTGGGAGGAGGAGCCCGAGTACTGGGCCATGCGGGCGGCCATGCTGGGCGTCATGGCGAAGGGGGAGGGGCTCCGCGGCGCGGCCCCGCCCCCCGCCAGCGAGGCCCCGCCCCTCCCGTGGTAGCAGCAGCCGCGGTGGCCGCAGGGGCTGACGCGATTGGCCGCCACCGCCGAGGCCCCGCCCACGTTGCCGTGGAAACGGTGCAGGCAGGCCCCGCCCCCCAGGCGGGCCGAGCAGCCCAGCCCCGCCCCCAGGTTGCCGTGGAAACGGTGCAGGCAGGCCCCGCCCCCGCCCAGCCGAGGCCACGCCCCCCCGGCCACGCCCCCCCGCAGGAAGGGGGAGGAGGGGGAGCGCGGGCTCCACCCCCCGCGCGTGGGCGTGGCCAGGAAGGGCGTGGCCGCGCGCTGGAAGGAGGCGGAGCCCGGGCTGCGGGCGGCCAATAGCGGGAAGGGGCCCCCGCCCCGCCCGGCCACGCCCCGCCCGGCGGCGGCCAATGAGAGCAGAGAGCCGGGGGGGCGGGGCGAGGGGCGCAGGCCACGCCCCCCGCCGGGCGTGAGTGACAGCAGCGAGCCAGGGGGGCGGGGCGTCGCCGAGGCCCCGCCCACCGGTTTGAGTGACAGCAGGGGCGTGGCCGCCGCCGCCGGGGTGGGCGTGGCCGCGGCCGGGGTGGGCGTGGCCACAGCCGTGGTGGTGGGCGTGGCCGCGGAGGTGGTGGGCGTGGCTACAGCGGCGG